GGGCGCCTGGGTGGCTCAGTCGTTAAGCGTCTGCCTTCGGCTCAGGTCATGATCCCAGAGTCCTGGGATCGAGCCCCACATCGGGCTCCCTGCTCGGCAGGAAGCCTGCTTCTCCCTCTCCCACTCTCCCTGCTTGTGTTCCTGCTCTTGCTATCTCGGTCTCTGTCAAATAAATAAATAAAATCTTTAAAAAAAAAAAAAAGAGTCTCCATTATTACTAGGAGAGCTTCCCAAGGAAAGTTAAGAACAGGGCTCTAATGGAGAGGTTTATGAGCAGGTCAGAAAAAAAAGGAAATGGTGGGAAAATGCGAGTAAATGCACTGACAGCAAAGAGAGGAGATTCACAGCCATACTCTGAAGCCTCACGGCAGCAGCACAGGGCACAGCTTCATTCATCTGACAAAATATTTCGTGAACACTGGTGTCACAAATTAGGGGGCTAAGACATGGGACAGCTACCAAGCTCGGAAGGATCTCACAGCTCCTGCTCTCGTGTGGCTTATAAGGCCCACGGGAAAGACAATCAGGTGCCCCAGGAAGTCATTAGGGGCTGAGGTAGGTCACTGGAATGAAGGAAACTTATTTCATGAGAGCCTATAACTAAAGAAGCTAGCTACGACAGAGGGATGACGAAGCCTTCCCTAAAGTACATCGTTATCTCTGCAGAAATAGGGGTGGGGGTGAAGCTAACACAAATCTTCCAGACTAAGGGCAACAGAAGGTTCTGTGGTGGAGCCAGCGGGGAGATTCGCAAGTCACACTCTGAAATTAGGAAGATGCTGGTTCTCTTCTTAGCCTGTTCCTTACCTCCTGATAAGAATACTAGCTCATTCATTAAGGGGCGGCTGGAACAATTAAATCAGACAATTTACTTACAGCACTTGGCAAAATGCGCTGACACAGAGTAAGTGCTCACTAAATGTGAGCGATGACAAAAATTAGAGTAGTGAAGAGAACCTGCGCTCCAGTAAAATTGCCTGGGTACACTCAACCCCACAATCAATGTAAACAGTTCCTACAGCCACCAATTATGAATTTCTAAAGCAAAATACAAGCAACTTAAATATTTTACTAAATGCCTGCTCTTCATGTTCACTAATGTAAATGCGCTGCAAAGAGCTGTATTTAGATATAGCACAAATACGTGTTATCTACCTACCTAAGGACTATGATATACTTCACCACTGAGATTTTTTCTTTTAAGTAAAACAACAACTTCCTGATGAATTCCAGAAAATACTCGAGTGAAACAAAGTTCTTACAGTATAATCACTATGTTTTCTGAACAGAATGCTCTTCAAAATGGACTGCTGAGTTCAGTTCTGTTTAATGTTATTTAAATAAAAGACAAACAGCTATATAAAAATTGTCCTTTACAAAATTTAACAATCTTGGGAAACAGTTTCAAATTTAGTCTTATTTAACAAGCTGAGGTATAATCCAAAATGAAAACCTTCATCTTTTCACTTTGCCTCTAGGCAGAGCATTACATGCATCCCCAGTAACGGAGAATCTTTCCTTTACATAGAAGTCTATTGATGTTCAAGGAAGAAGGGAAACACACCCTTTTCAGATACAAGCTCCCTCAGATACACCACCGTTGAGTACTGAGTACATTTTTCCTAAGCTTAAGTATCTATAATATATCTCCTGGCCTAAGATTTCTGAACAGATAAGAACTGAGAAAACAAGACACATGCAACAAATGCAACATTACCTGGAAAACTAGTCTTCATTACATCAATTCCAACTTGTAGCTCAGGTTCAGCAGCAAGCACGGCATAGTCCCCTTGATGAGAGACATTAAAGTTGAAATTGGGGTAGGGATTCAAGGAGTCTTTTGCAAGAACTGGTTTTCCCTTTGCAGTTCTTTGCAAACGAATATTATTCCAAGGGATATTCAATTTCTCTGCAACTAATTTCCTTATCATCAGACGACCAGCCTGTTAAGTAAAACACGTGGTATGTATTAATGTCTACTAAACATTCAGATACCCTGCCTGTAACATACACAGTCTATTTTTGTGGTTTCTAGAATAAATTCATTTTTAAGTGTTTAAAAGTATGTAAGTACTAAACTCACTGTACTAAGATTTAAGCAATGCTTAGGAAGGTAGAAGAAAAAGTTAAAGTCCCTCTTTATCAATTCCCTCCCCTCAACCAATGTTAACATAATTCTGCCTCCTTCTGATCTTCTAAGTATCTAAGTATCTTTTCATTTAGTTATGCTTTTTTTTTTTTTAATGTAGACATATTTGAGATCCTACTATATGGAGTACCGCACCATGCCTAAGCTTTACAACTTGCAAGTGTTGGGGATTATTTCGTGTCTGTACATGTACATGAGTCTGGCCTGCCCCCTTTTAACGGTAGTACAGTATTTCACATCCAGATACTCCCCCGATGGACTATTCCCCTACTACCGTCCTTTTAGGCTGGCTCCAGGTTAGCTGCTATAAACAATTTCCCAGTGAACAGCCCTGTTGTACCTACATCTTTGTGCATCTGTCCAGGTATTTCTAGATCCCATATACCCGTCGCTCAGCTTCAGTAATTAGCAATGCATGACTTGTTTCACGTATACTCCTTCCACTGTCCCACTTCCATTAATTACTGAGAAACAAATCGCTAAAATCATGCAAAAATACCCAAGGGTATGAAATGACAAGGTCTGTAGTATTTCATAAAATATCTTTCAGGGATTTTCCCCTTCCATTCTAACACCGACTTAAAAATCTGCATTACTTTGAATTACACGATTCCTTACGAACTATAAAAAAACGTTAAAAACAAATTCACCCCCAGGCCTTCCAAACACTATCGGTCCACACCCAAACGACAGGTGTTTCTGTCCGCGGGCCCGTCCGAGAAACGGCGGTCGCGAACTGATGGTCCTAGAGCCTATTTCGAACCGCACTGTGAAGCAGCGGTGACTCCGCAACGCAACTTTCCCTTTGTTGCTTGAAAACGCGTTGACCACAGCCAGAACCTCCACTTAGAACGCGCTCCCCAAGCCTCGCGGTCGGGCCGCTCCTCCCGCGCAGG